CTGTCTATACTGTGTTTCTCTAGCTTTGCATGACGGAGAGTCAAGCATGGGCGTTACCACGACATCAGGAGAGACAACGTTAAGGTTGAAAGCGTCTCAGGACAGCAGCCGGCGCGTCTGCTCGGCACGCCTCGTTAGATTTATCGCCTCATCACCAATTGCTTCCTACATCTTTTCTAACTGAATCTCATTCAAGCTTATTGTTCGATTTTGACCAATAACTCAAACCCTCTAGGGGTTTGGTAAATTTTACAAAAAACCGTTTAATTATCCTAATATCGGCCATTTTTATGTCTCATTTTATTTTAACTCAAAATTTATTGAAATCTAATCCATCTCGATTATTTTGTTTTACTTGATGAAAATATTTATTAATAATAAAAATATTTTCTAGCCATTCTAAATAAATTGGGAAAAATTATAACGATGCTGATATCTGATATTTAACGGTAGAAGCGGATAAATTATTTAATCTAAATATTATTTCAAATATTGAAAAATTTTTTTTTTTTCATATCATCCTTTTCAAGCCTTTTCTACTCATATGCTGGTGGTAAAAGAGTAGATTTACTTTCAGACAGCTTCATTAACGCTCGCCACGGGTATCTTGGTTCACTGTCTGTCCCTTCTAACAGCAAACTACTCTGCGAGGTCATAAACCTATCTCACCTATGTATATAAAATATCGGATCAGTCTACGATCAATTTTCAGTACATCTTTTCCTAAAACACTTTATAAAATCTTATACACAACTTGGGATAAAATAAAATTATAACTTTATTTAATAAAATATTAAACGCATGAAAAAATCTGATGAAAAAATAAGGAAACAAGTTCCTTTTAGCAAGTGACGTTGTTTGAACAACAATAATTCTAAGGAAACTGGAAACAATGAGAGTGGCTGTGAACACCTTTTGCTATCGAGAGAATTTTCTTACAAGTCCAAGTGATAAAAAAATAATAAAACAAGATGGCTTGAATCTCTTCAGCGACCGCCTAGGGTGACGAAATACGATTTCTTGCTCTTTTTAAGTCTTTTTGGCGAACGACACCATCAAAAAATCATCACCGGTGTTTCCTCGAGGCTTAGAATAGTTAGGGGATGAGTGTAAGAGCAGACTGGTCGTTGTGACCCAGAGAATCTGAGAGAAAGAAAGATGAAGATTTTTCAATTTCCCGGCTTTCGGGCATCCGTCGGAAAGATAGAGGGTAAGCTGACATTTGGGGGATGTTGGCATTTCCACCTAAGGCTACGTTGACACAAAAATGTGAGTGAGAAAGTATGTGTAGGGATTCGCAACCCTTTTGCTAACGCTTTTCACCCAATGTTCAATCGTCGCCTCATCTCGCATTGTCTTCTTATCCTGCATAACGTAACATGCTCGCGACGCCGCTGGCTTAGTCGTTTTATGGCCACGTCAACGGTTCGTTATAGGGGCGCCCGCGAGTACAGTTTGCCTGACTTGGCTTCTATATCCCCCACGTGCTTGCCACATTGTCTATTCCGAGAATATATTACGCGCCCACGCGTGAGCGGCACGCCGAGCACGCGTCATAGCATATACTCCTATGCTCTTCCTTTCTCATGTTTCTCATGTCCATCATCAAGTTTCAAATAACCCAATTTATCTGCAAACTTCACTCACAGTATTATTTATCATTTATATTATTTATACAGTTAACTATTAATACTTTGGAAAATCATCTAGCTGATGAGAAGCTCCAATTAACCAGTTGACAACCTTAAAAATTAATTTTTATTTTTTCTTTCAATAATATTCACTTTTTATAATGATTGAAATTGCTTTGATTAATTTTCTCCTATTTTGTGAATAAAAGAAAAAAAAGAAGTAACTTATTCTTATGAAAGCTGACATTTTCGCAATCTTTTTTTGCTCTGAATATATAAATTGATGAATAACATTAATAATCAGAATTATTGGTCGTAAGAATAGCATTAAGAGCAAATAAAAATGTACAATTACACTCTCGACCTAGCATTCATATCAATAAATCGCAATGGCGAACTTTGGCTCGTAAACTGTGTCGATTAATTATACGAGTTGGAGACTATACAGCATCCATACTAGCATAATCGACATTGTTGTCGCATTGTTTACGCTAGCCACTGAATTTATCAATAGATAGCCGTCGGTTAGATTACATAGAGTGGGACGAGGCCAGTAACACATTCCATGTGTTTGCTGGATTATTTCGTGTTTATACACCACCAGCCACATTGCTCCTATGCTTATAACACGTTTTCATAGTTACTAACTGTCTATGGTAGAATATACATCCATATACAGCTATATTCTATCTATACACACAATATATGACACAACCTAGCAAAGTTCAATTGCAAGTTCCACCTCTCCACTTTCACCCCTTTCTCACCCCACATCAGAGCGTCATAATCCCGCGGCACTTTCGCAAAGTTCACGCGACCTTTTCACTGGATAGTGGTGATGGTGGCAACCCCATATTCAACACCAAAGGTCTGGTAATCCTCTAAGGCCGTTATGTGCTGTTGACATTTAGCCTCCCAGGCATTACTTACCCACGGCTCTAAAAAAAAACCAGTTTCACGGGGTGGCACAAACCCGGTGGTGGATTCTGGATAGGCGGAGGTGGTCGATATAAAGGATATAGCTAAGATAGAAGCAAAAAGTTGACCTTCTACCTGCAGACAACGCACTAGGAATATACTGTAGCCCCGACACACGTAACCCTATATGCCATGCTAATGGGATTGGCATTGTTGTCCATTACCATGACAATGTGAATCCTAAACGTAATGCTTGTACAAGGTGAAAGACTATGAGTACGACACCTAGAAGTGTACTAATACGTGTCGACGAGATTTGTACTGACGATAGGACTCCAAATATTCTCCTTGTTATGATAATCGCCATCTAGACCACCATTATAATTCGTGGAGGCGCTTCCTCACAATATTGTGATATCCGATAGCACCCATGTCGAAATACCAGAGCAGTTCTAATGTTCTCGTCTTGCTTCTTCACTATTATATACTTGCATTAACATACACTCTGCTATAACATAAAGGATCTAATTTGTATGAGACATTTCATTCTTTTTTTCACTCTGATATACCTATTTTCAGGATGAAATATGATATTTAGGTTTTATTATATAATAAAATTATTATTTTCTCTTTGATAGTGGTGAAATGATGGTTCTTGTTAGTCAATTAAAATAGATTTATTTTATAGTATCCGGAAAAGAGCCAGTGATTTTAATGTATTTTCGTAAAGCTTATCTTGGATCACGTCTTTGTGGTCATATATAACCCCCATGACGTTGACGAATCTTGCATTTATTCGTTTCGAAAACCGGCTGAGAAATTCAGTTCTCCCCCACGACGGTCATTTATCGTCTCAGAGTGTGCTTACGACGCTGAGACGAATGAAACGAGTCACCGGATGCTCATCTCTCGAGATATTCACCTCAACGCATAACGGCATATCGAACTTGAAGGCGCCAAAGAACTCATCAAAACGATAATTACTACTGCAACAAAACTTTTATTAGCCATGTTCAGTCATTTCAGGATATTCTAATTTATTATAATTTTCTCTTTAATTCTGGCATTGAGTGACAAAAAAAACAAAAAAAAAAAAATGATAATTGGACGAAAATAAAATACAAATATGACGCAATAACTCCAACAATATTATCTTGAACTTTTTTCCGTTTCCTCTTGGACCATCAATTTAGTTCGATTCTTACTCTTTACTTCAGCATGTTTTCAAGAAGTTTTTACGTAGTCTCGGTCTTTAATCACAACTCAACCTTGCATTGTCACTGACGTCACCTCCACGATTTAGAAGGGTGTTCATTCAAGGGATGCTTTGTACTCTGGCTGCCCCCGTTGATCCCTCTTGCATATCATTTGTCTGCTGAGAGGCACCTTATTTGTATCGGCTCACTTTTTCCTCTTGCTAGGCTTTCCTTCTTCTTCAAAGCCTGCTTTGTCAATCTTATCTTCAATTCAAACTTGGATATTTTCCCTACAAAAGCAATGATGACCAAAATGAAATCTTTATTAAAAATACCATTTTTGAAAAATTAATTCAACCCAAACTATTACTGACTTCAATCACTGTTTGATTTTATAAAAATTAATTTATCGAAGAATATAGAGTCTTGGAATTATGTTTTTGTGTTGATAAAATTTGTTTAGATAAGCTTGAAAGATGATAATTTCTTTAAAGAAAAATTGTGGTTCTTTTTAACGATGAATAATTTCATAATAATCATCCAAAGCCACATAAAGCTAAACAAAATTAAATAATTTATTTACACTGAAAAAGTAAATTTTATTGCTCGATCGTGATGACAACAAACTTAAAGTTCATATGTGTACTGTAATAGCATAATAAGACGGTGGTTTTGAGGGATAGGAATGGTTGGGTGAAGATAACGAGGGAGATGAAACGGTGGGAAAGACGTACGACGGGGTAGAGATTGAGGAAGATTGGTCGCGAGCGAATCAAGATTGGTTAATTTACGTTGGACATCCAGTCTTCAAGGCGCCACGGCATTTAGTGGTTAACGTATGCCCTCGTGAAGTGAAGAGACAACGGGTGGAGATGAATAACTGAGTATTGCTTGAGACGCCACTCGACGCCGCAGTTATTCGAATTGATGCGCTGAATTGAAGCCGCTGACGACATCGGCGGTTGAAGACAGTTAAAAACGTTCCTCTCGTCATTTTTCATATTTTATTACTCCACCGCGTCTGCCTGAATATACGTAGTAATCAAACTAGTTTAAGAGTCCAATTATCTGTTGACAAAATCATAAATCGCGTCCTTAAGTCATAATCATTGACCGTAATGAAAAAAATAAAATTTTAATTGACTCAAGGGTGAAGAAAAAATGTCTTTAATTTTTTAAATTAGGATTAGTTTAAATTAAAATAATTCTTATTCATCAATCACTTTATTAATATAAGTATTTTATTATTTTACAGATGCCTGTGGTCTATCAGATGTAGCACACATCGAGTCTCTTCAAGAAAAATCACAATGTGCATTAGAGGAATACTGCAGAACTCAATACCCAAATCAACCAACGAGGTTTGGAAAGCTACTACTTCGATTGCCCTCATTACGAACAGTATCATCGCAGGTAATAGAGCAGCTATTCTTCGTACGTCTAGTTGGCAAGACACCTATAGAAACACTCATCAGAGACATGCTCTTAAGTGGCAGCAGCTTTAACTGGCCCTACATGTCTACGATGTGACACTCCGTATGGCGGCAGCTAGCTTCCGCATAATAATCATACTCATTTGTTGTTCCACTTGGCTGGAATTGAACTTGATGGTCTATCGTATTTCAAATAGCTTTCACAGCAATTTACATAGTCTGTGATTTTCTCCCTTTATGACAATTTTCATGACATGACGAAGAACCAAGAGGGAGATTGGAATTCGGACGCGTGCCGTAATACTTCTTCTTCACTTTGCTCATAGCCACATCCAATCTCAACAAGTCACGGGGTCGTGTGACACTCGTCTGCCTACGCAAAGGAAAGATGAGTATTGGAAGAAGTGCATGAGATGAGCATAAATCCAGACGATGGAACTGGCGTCAAAGAGAGAGGTCGAACGTGCATGGCCATTCAAGTTACGACTTATCCTCTAACTTGGATATATACTAAAGATCTGTCTGTAAAGAATTCAAAGCCGTTGGAAATATTGTAGACATGGTAGAACATTTATAATATGGCTCAAGTACGAATTTTGATGAAAATAAATAAAAGAAAAATTTCAATAATAGAAAAACGAAAAACTAATGAAGAAAAACTGTGTATGATATTGTAAAAAAATGTGGCAATGTTAAAAGTTAATTACTTATCAATTTTAGCAAACAATTGTTAGTCTTTATATGAATTATTTTTTATGTTATTATTATTATTATTATTATTATTATTATTATCATAATTATTATAATTATTATTGTCTATTTTTTGAATTTAATATGTAACAAACGCATTATTGTGAAAATTGACTGTGAAAAATCATTTGGAATTTATTTAGAAGAAGATAATAACAATATTCATAGACATTCGTATTGAAGTACGATAAAGTGTCAAAAAGAGTTTGATTAAATTGAACTTGTGAGTAAGTTTTTTAGATGAAATTTACAAAAATGTATATCACGTGGATTTAAGCGTTCATAATTAACATGCCTGGAACGCAATTGCTCAGATTGATGCATGATTAATAACAATAAGAAAAAGACGTTAAAAGTAAAAGAATACAATAAATGTATTATAATTCCGTCGAAAGGTGTTAGTGGTCCTTTCCTTAAAGTTACTTGACAAGCCTCCTTCTTTTTTGTATACGTATGTAACATACATAAATGTGATGTATAAAGACAACTTTTGTATAAATAATGTAAATATTTAATATATAATGCAAATGTCAATGCGTAAATGTATAAAGCATAAAAAAGCAATACGTATTAAAATATACGTAATATTATGTTATAGATAATAATATTATTGTGTAGAAAAAGAAAAGGTATACATTGAGGAAACAATTTATTTATTTTTAATAAATCTTCTCTCAGTGCATACACATATAAGAAAAGCACGTATACAATGATTAGGATGAATTAAATGTGCGTATGTAAATAAAATTGCATTCGCCAGACACACAAATAAATATATAATAAATGAAATCAAATGAAAATTATATAGCTTATATTAATCAGCGTACATGATATAGGTATTATACACATTAAAATGTTGATAATTTTATTAATAACACAGTAACAATAATACATAAAAAAAAAAGAAAAAATAAAAATGTATTTACAAATTCGTAGTTATTATGGATAAATAATAATGCGACTGGTCTTCTTTGCTAAAAAGAAATTATTAAATGAGATGATATCCTGTTGCAAAAAGTAATATTCCGTTGTTTAATTATTTTTTTGGATACTGAGAAATAGTTGTAATAAAAAATTACAATAATGTAGTAAAAAATAATTATCTGACTTTTTTTTTCTTTATTATTTAATTTTTATTAACATGCTTTCAAAGTCTGCCACCATCACCATTCCTTCATTACTCCAAGAGACGAAACAAAATTGATTTTATCTAGTGAAAATTTTCTTACTGAATAAAAATATATTTTTTATTATTTATTGATAATATAAACAAGTTGTAATGTTTTATTTTATTATTGCATTATTTTCTATGTGCTAAAGACAAAAAAGTATTCTTTAATGCAATAAAAATACAATGAATCAGTTTAAAATGGGAGGATTGAAAAAAACAATAGTTTCCCGTTTGTCACGAAGCACAGTGAGAAATTATTTGTGTATCGTGTCGCGGAATTCGTCTTCGCGTCGTCTTGATGAAGATTCTCTTACTCACCAATTGTTTATATTAGGGTACCAAACGATTCGTCGGTCGTGGTGGAATTCTCGGGGGTCAGGCAACCGCGACGAAGAGAGTTCCGAGACCGAGACAAGGCATTCGAAAAAAAATTCTACAAAATAAAGAAGAATAATAAGAAAACAACGACAATTTAAAAAAAAAAAAAAGTGAAACCAATGAGGAGAAGACTACTACTACCGGAGCTACGAGAAGAACTCTTCCTCTGCAGTATCTACATTGGTGTTTCCTTTTCTCTTTTATAACACAACTTTGTCTTGCGTCCAAAGAAAAAGAATACAAGACAGCAGAGTAAGAAGGAAAGAAAGAGATCATGAGAGAGACGCTACTGAGGATTTCGCCAAAGGGTGAAAGCTCTTCGTGTATCGTTGAGGATCGTGACTGGATTTTCTGCGGTTCTCTGCCGAACGTTCAGCAAAGACCTCGTTCCTTCGGTCCCGTGACTCCAGTGTGTATATGGTCCGGTTTATCGTTGCCTCTCCAACATGTACAGCTTTAACTGACTGTCTATACTTCTCTCTTATATGTCTCTTGACTCTGTCTTTAAAAGTCCTGTATCGTCTTGACCCCCATGGCGTATCCTACTCTTTGTAATACAGGACAATACTGCTACTCCTCCTACTTTCAGCATCAGACACTGCTTTGGACTCATTGCGCCCTTCTCTTTATTCACGTATTGAACATTATCGGAGCAAATCCTGTACTTCCAAGATAATAAATTGTGAATTCTGTTCACAAATTGTCCAGTTAATTCTCTAGGTAATTTAGAAAATTCTTTTGTTTAAATTAGTTTTTTTTTATTGATTTTTAATATTTATAATTAATTTAATCATGTTTCAAACTAACAATCAAGTCCTTGAAAAATGATCAAATAGTTCAATTGATTCGTTCTTTGAGGTTTAATCTTTTTATATCATTTACTTTCTAATAATTATATATTTCAGACAATTGTAATTGTTGACAGTACAAACAGATATTGTAAAAACTTTTATAATTCATGTGATGGTATTAATAAATTGTTTTATTATTAATTTTGATGAACTAATTTTCATTACAACATTGCTTAAATTAATTACTAAAAATATAAATAAAATATTGCAGAGAATGATTTTTAAAATTAATCACCAAATGAGAAAACAATAATTAAGAAGTTCACAATGTATAAAACTATTTACTTTCACGCTATATATGTCTAGGAAATCTTTTTTAATCCCAAACATTTTTTGGCCTAAAGCCAAAATGCATACGACCTTAGTAGTTAAATAAAAAGAATTTTAGTAGTATTTTCTACTCAAGTCTCCAACTCTGGAATGTATATTATTTAGCATTTATTGGTCTAACGTATACTATCACACAAAACTTGAAATAAAAAAACAATATACTACTTAATAATGATTCAATGGTTTAAACTTTCGCCTATACAAAGAATCCTTCCCCTTGACGAGTTAACGCGAGAGCTGAATACTTTCGATTGACCAATAATTTGTTTCACAACACTTGCGAAATAATTGTTGACACGCGTGGAACGTATGTACGATCACTTCAGGCTGTTACATTCGTGTATGTTTTACACGACGTCACAAATCATTGCAAGATTAATACAAAATACTGGAATTAATAAAATTATATACACAGTTCAATAGTATAATAATTTACCCAGTAACCATTCAATTTAAAATTAATCACTCAATCTCATATGGTTATTTTTTTCTTCCTCAACAAACTCTTTCACTTATCCAGTAAATTTTTCTGCTGTACCTCCAGGCCGCTTTTAGTTAAATAAAGTTTATTAAGTAAAAAACAGTCATCAACTCAGATAAATTTGATAAGTAAAAAAAAAAGAATATTCAAACTAAAAATACTCTATGAGTCTGATGGAATAAATGAGAAAACAGAAGCTTTCATTCAGTAAATGGTAATCTTCAATCGGTCTACGATGAAGCATCAAATAATCCAATTCATAAAAGCCATATCTTATTTGATAACAATTCATAAAACTGACATTTAAGACGTTGAAGATGCAGTGGACTAAAGAGTACACCCTTTCCAGTGAATGATCTTCAAGATAGTTTATCAAAATAACTATATCATGAGTATAAAGGTGCAGGAGAGTGGAAGATTTGGACTGTGTCCAACGGTCGAGGTAGAGAACTTGTCCATATATTTGGCTTCTTGGTGGCGTACTTTATCATGAGCTTCACGACTTCAGGCGAGATACCACTCGCCCCAATGATAACCCCAACGTCTGACCTTATTATATGACTGCACTCTGTATGTATAATTTTACTCTGCTTCTTTTATCCTACTGAATCAACTACTTGAGATGCATTTTCCCCATTTCCAAATGTTATAATCACTTTGGCACATATGTGAAAGCTGATTACAATCATGAATGAAATTCTTATGTTTCAAGATCACTATTTGACACAATTATTCCAAGTATGAATCAAATTTCAACTACTGTTACTACCAGAGATTGGGTTTATAATTTTTTTCATTTATCATTCTCATGTAAAAATTAATTATATATAATTCTTCATCTTTGACAAATAATTTCTATCAATTTTCCATACTGAATCATTCATCACTTAATTTTTTTCTTTTCTCTGATATCAATCTTATAAATAAATGAATAAACAATTTGTTTCAATAACATTTTTCACAAATATTCTGGCTGCTGTAATTTTATTAAATATGATAATTCTCAATATTTCCAAAGTACATTACAACATCTTTATATTTTTTTTAAAGGCACTATTATCAGCACCATAGTCTTGACTGAATAAATATTCTAAAATTATTCAGTCAATTTTATCAACAAGTTGATTAGTACGGATTTTTACATCGATCTACATTTATCAATTCCACAATTGATATCTCAATTGAGAATTTCGAAAAAGTGATAACAATAAACATAATTTCAACATTTCTTTGACGAACAGTTTGGTCGATTAATGACGTAAAAAGTTGTTATATAATAGGACAATTATAAAATCAGTAATGTGATTAGTATTATGATAATTCTTAATATATGTAGCAAAAATAAAAATCTAAATAGTCTAACAAGAAAATTTACCGATTCGTTGGGATCAAAGGGACGACCAACAACAAACGACAAACCGCGGACCCTCGCCTTCCGTTCCTTGATGGAGTAATATGCGTTTGTTATGTTTCAATTGTCATTTTCCACCCACGCTTGCGTAAATTATCTAAACTTCCCATTGTAACCGTCAATATATCTTAGAAAGATCTGGCTGGCTTGTCTTTTTAATAAATTAGACTCTGGTCTTCATAACGAGACAAAAATAATGAAGATTAACATCACTAATAGTTTTCCATTGAGGAAGTTATCAAATAAATACACATATATCCAGTTTAGCTTGATAAATTATTTTAATACTTATACAAATTATACAATTTTTAATCAAGCAGAGTCATGATGTCTATACGTGACCAGAAGCTTTAATGTAATGTCGCATTGGTGGAAAAGATTGAATTATAATGAAGCGTCATTAGAAAAAAGAGTTTAAAGACTTTGGCATAAACAATCAATGACAACCTCCAAGAAATCGAAGGCGGTCAGTGTTGGTGCGTAAGTGAGAGGCGGAGCCACAGACTCACGGGTCAGAGGGCACAACCAATCACGACTCGGTGATAACCACTCTTAAGACCCTCTCGGTATGCCGCGAGTTCTAACTGCCGGCACGCACGCACATATGCCTAACTGTCTGCTTGCTTCTGCGTACATTTCTTTAAGAATTAGCTTTTCTTCAGTATCAATCAGACATATTACAGATTTGTTCATTTGTTCCCTCAATTACTTAGATAATTATCTTCTTATTTTTATTAGACGAATGTTTTTATTGTCATCCAATCTCAGAGATTCTTTGGTTTATGTCAATAGACCAGAATTGAAGATGAACAAGATAAAGGGCTCTTTGATAGAATGAACCTTGTAATTTATTACGTTAGGGATCGATCGAATTCCATTTGCTCTTTGGACAGCTCGAGAAGTGTCGCATAATTTGACGATTTGTACAGGTCATGGATTTTCTCTACCTCAACATAAGTCAACAAATTTTGTTATTGATTTCTCGTGTTGATGTTAAGTATAAGTAATAAAATTAATAGCAATATTTTGGTTATTTTTAATGAAAATTAATTTAAGAATGACTGAAACATTCAATAAAATTAATAATTTATCTACTTTTGATAATTGTTCCATAAATAAGTTTATCTTAATATTCATACATTAACGATCTTAAATCAATCGCAAAAATGTACAATGTAAAACAATAGTGTTAGCGCCATCAAGATTTTACTGATTAAAAAAAGTCCTTCGCCAGCCCAATATCAACAATCGATTGTATGTTATCAGTAAGTAAATCGGTAAGATAGAAAGTAAGCGGCAAGACAATATTTAAATGGATACCGTGTCTTTTAATTTTAAATCTCTTGAATGCTCAATAATTATTTCGGAGCAAATTTATTTAATATATTAATTAAAATTATTTTGAAATTACGCTAATCTAACATAAAAAAACAATTTATTAACGACATAATTACAATAGTATATTTTGCATGTGAAAAGCAATATTTTCTCTTTAAACATTTTTTTTTTTTTCACTGAATTGTTCAATAATTATTTTTTAGATTAATCACAAGCCTACTAAGAAGTATCTCCGGTCATTCATCACTTAGCGAATATATTTTCTGAATATGTATACACATACAACAGACACACATACACACATATAATTTATTTAATTATTTCATGAAATAATAATTGATATTATATGACGGCAATTGTTTAACTATCATTTTGTTTATTATTATTTCATGACTTTTGTCTTTATTTTTATTTAATTTTCATCTAACAAAATATTGTAATTGTACCATTCAGTTAATGGTAGATAGATATCTTTAAGTTACATTTAAATTATTTTATTATTTTAACTAAATCGCTGTACAAAATGAAAATAAAATAAACGGTAAAATCATGTAAAAATTAAATAAATGAATATACCCATGATGGACATACCTTGTTCATTAAGGATTATTTTTATAACTAATTTTTTTAACAGCTTTCAGTGTACGATATCATTTGCTTCGTTATCAGTATCAACTGTTTAAATTTTTAATTTAATAAATTGTCTACTTGCCTAAGCAAAAAAAAAACGGACGGCCTGCGCATGCTACATGGAGTGGCTTGTAACTTTTATCCTCTCCATTAATTATAGATTATTATCATTGTTATTATTATTTAAATCAATTATTATAATTATTTCATTTTACTTTTATTTTATTTATTAATTTTTTTTTTACATTACTAAAATAAATTCAACGTCGATCGAATAATACTTGAACGATATTTCAAGAGAAATGTTTAATACGTCATCGATTCGAAAGTATATCACATATTCCAAGGATAATCACACCTTGAATGCACTCATTATAATTTTAATTAACATCTTTTACACATGGCGCCCATACTCTATATGAAACACATAAATCGTTAAACGTTCATCATATTCACGTGATTTTTATATTATGCTTCCAATTCTGCTTATGATAGGATACGATATACAATAAAACATGATCAGATACACAAGACGGATACTCAAGGGCGGGGGAAAAAGATATCTGTCCTTTTACTTTATAATTCTTTTAAAAAACATCAATAAATTTTTTTGCATAATAAACAATAATTGCAGTACTCAATAATCAATCAAAAATGGACTTGTACTTTAAAAAAAGATACTATAAAAATTATACATGGTGAAAATAAACATAAAATTACAATTAAACTTGATTTATTCCTTTACTGCTTTGGAATTCATAAAAATTTTCGCGGCAAAGGCATCTTGTGATTATTGTAATATTTTATCTAGACATTTATTCCAATAAATAAATAAATGGCAAAAAAATGAAATTCTTTAACAGGTTTTGTTTTGTGGACGTTGAATGAATGATTTTCTTTTTGTAATGATATTAATGATGATGAAAATAATGACATTTTGGACTTTCTAATAACACGTATGTTGTTTTACAGAATACATCTATACAATTTTTCTTTTTATTCTATTAATGCAGAAAATAGTTTTATTTATTTTTCCACTGTTGAACTTGACTCTTTGTATTCACTGGCTTATGATATTTATTATATTTATTTGTATTATCTTTCTTACTATATTTAATAATTTATTTTGTTGTTTTTTTTTTTATTTTTATCTTTCCATTATAATTTTAAACTTAGTCAGGAATCACTTATCTTTATCAAACTATAGTTGAAGATATATGCGAATATTTATGATATTTAAGTAATATCGGCAAAATTGTACGAAACTAATTTTTTGTCAAATATAGTATATAATTTTTATATTTATTTATATTCTTCTGTATCTTTAAGATTATTTTTTGTCCTTCCCCCACCCATCAACTATGTTTTCTATTTATTATTATTTATGATTTCGACGTAACTTGCAACGAGGCTCTTCAAAACGCTCGCGGTGGCAGAATTGGAAATAAATTGACCGCTCTATAAATTTATATCGAAATTTTTTTCTCTTCAGTTTTAATTCTGTTCTTATTATAATTCACCATTTTATGTTACTATAATTTTATCTAATTGCTTATAAAAAATGACTGAAAAAAAATTTTACTATTTGCAAAAATATACAAGGCAATAATAATTACAACAATAATTAAATAACTATGCTCGACATCATGATTATTCATAATATATACGGAATAAATAAAAAATAAAATACATGCTCTTTAAAAAAATAATCATGAATATCTTATTAAGTAATTATACTTTTAACCAATTAAATTGTTTTTTAATTTTACCAACATAAAAATTGTCCGACCAAGAAAAAACATTTCAAAATTACAAATGGCATGTACAAAAAGAGAAAAATATAATTTCAATACAATAATTTTCTGATAAAATCCTTATTTTTATTTGTAGTTCGTTTTAAACTGCAATATTCATCATTAATCACACTATTCTTTTATAAATATATTTATGTAATTCAAGATTTAATAAATTTATTAAAAACTACCAAAAGCTTTAGAATTTTTTCTCCAAATTGAAATTTTTTTCATTAATTCATAATAAGATTTAAATCCGAGCACATTTGTTTAACATGATTGTAATGATTTTATATAATAGTAACATTTAATTGATGAGTGTAGAGAGTGAAGAATAGGAAGAGAGCTTGCCGTCTGCATAAACCGTTCGTATCGCTTAAAAGTAACTTTTCAGCCTAGAGATATCATCTACAATTAGTTAAGATTCATCTTAACTTTCACCTTGACTATTCAAACACTGACTGAATCTATTCTCTGATCGCCACGTAGATCTTTCAATTAATGAATAAGATCAATCATCTGAATGTGGCAGATTCGATGACAGTGCTGGTTGCTGATGTACTTGGGCGGGAATATTAATTGTCTCGCTTTGTTGATTACCAGTTATTAAACAATTGTAGAGTTGCTATTTTTTTGTTGGCGTACCACGTTGTGTAAGCCCTTCGAAACGTTTGAACGTATAATTTATGAAGACCCAGTCTTTATATATCACCTCACCGTCTTGAGATAGCGGTGCAGAAGCTAAATATAAAAATTAATTAGTTAATTATTTCTTTAAATTCATGTTACCTTTAAATAATTTCTTTTTTACTTACGTATTTCCAGTTTAACGTCAGGGAAATCATCGAAATTAGACGTATCATCTATGGATTGAACTTCAACTGGTATTGCTGCAGGTCGTTCTCTTATATGTTCCCAGTCAACTCCACGGAAAAAAGGCGCTAGTTTCAATTCTTCTATGCCTCTTTGAGCTCCTACGATAACCAAAATTACATTATGAATAATTTATAGCTATTAAAAGATAATTATTTTTAATTAATGAGTAATTAATACCAAATTTTGAATAATAATTATTTTTTTATCAATTAATCTGTATTAAATTTTATACGATTTTTTATGAGTGAGAGATTACGTTAATGTTTTTTTTCTTTCAATGAAAAATTCTTATCTCAACTTTCTAATTCTCTTAATCACTGTAAAAATATTTACTGCCTGAAACTTAATGATATTAATATCTTTTTTACCTAATCTTCTATCAGCCTCACAGCAAAATTTAATAATAGTATCTTTGGCCTCTTCGCTAATCGGCACTTCTGGTGGAAAGACCAATGTTTCTCTCCAATTCATTACTTTCCTATATGTTTCTTGTGGATTCTCACTGCAGAACGGAGGATAACCTAAGTATCAGACAATAAAAAACATAAATAGTACCATAAAAACAACACTATTCTAAGTAAAGTTAAATTGTTAAATGTTACTGATACATCAAGTACTTATACAAAAACATAGACTATCTATGAATAGATGCTTATGAAGAAACTAGAATAAAACATTGTCGGAAGAGTTCTTGCTTACCTATCAACATCTCATACATTATCACACCAAGAGACCAACAGTCACACGCTGGACCATATCCAGTTTGAAGGAAGACTTCAGGGGCTATATAATCAGGAGTTCCAACTGTACTGTAAGCTAGTGCTCTTCGATTTCTTTTCCAGCTTTCAGCACGCCGTTTACTATCCATTGCTCCACCACTCCCACTTTCACATGATGTCACTGTTAAAATGAAAATTAAAGATTAATTTATCTAATAAATAAAAAAAAAAAAAAAATCTAATTGAAAACAGTTTAATTAATTTACTGATATTGATTATTGCATATAATGTCAAAGTATTACATCAATTTAAAAGTTGATACATATGTCGTTCATCATTTTTTATTAAAAATTAAATTTCATTAACGTAAGTCATTCTGGAAGAAATAACAAAACATCGGAAGAATGGTAAAGCAGTATAAATAATGAAAAGAAGTATTATTGATCAAATAAAATCACACTATAGATCAAAGTTAGAATAAAATATGCAAAAACTTACAACTGTTGAATCAATCTATTACTCAACAATAACAATGCTCTAGACGACTGTGTATAAAACTCGTTAAATAAATAACAATGACTTACTGAAGTCAGAAGGCTTTGCCTGACTGAGATCCCTATAAAAATCAGTTCTGTGTGACTTCTTAAGTCCTGTACATAGACCAAAATCTGAAAGCTTTATGTGGCCCCGTGCATCTAGCAACAGGTTGTCAGGTTTGATATCCCTAGAATAAAAAAGGTAAAGAACTAGAGTTCAATGTACTTGAAAACAGAAGCACTCAATTGATATATTGAAAATATACAATACCTATGTATAAAACCTAGCTTGTGTATAGAATCAATTGCTAGAGCCGTTTCTGAGATGTAAAATTGGGTGCACTCTTCAGAAAGCGTGTCCTTCTTCATTAGAAGCGTCATCATGTCGCCTGTAACGGAAATAACGGATCCAAGTTGACTCATCGGCAATTTAAACTTGTCATACTGAACTTGAAGTTTAAATTTACATTGCAAAACAACTCAATTTTTCTTCTATCACATGATAAATATATTAAACAGCAATAAACAGTTTTACTTTGAAAATAATTAGTTTAGATCGTGGAATAATTTATCTTACAGCAATCTATCAAGTTGATGATGATGAAACACTTTGTATATTTCAAAATAAAATGTTCTATTAAAACAAATATAATGGTAAGTGAGCATAAATATTTCTTTAAAAAAAATATAGAACTAAAATAAGATAAAAATCAGCGTTTTTGCAGATTTTCCAACAAGAAGCTAATAAAATTAGTCTAATAGTGAGAAAAAAGTAATACCTCCTGGCAGAAATTCCATAATGAGATATAAATTGATAGGATCTTGAAAGCTGTAGTACATTTTTACTACCCACTGATGATCAGCTTCGACAAGAACATCTCTTTCAGCTCTAACATGAGCCACTTGTTCTTTTTCAAGCATGTCTGCTTTTCTCAGGATCTTCATGGCGTATACATGGCCAGTATCTTTTTTCTGGACCAGTCTCACCTACGAAAAAAAGTCAAAGATGAGTAAAAGAAGATAAAAATAAATGTGGACAAATGATTAATTAACCTATGGTTACTTTCACAAAAAAATGTAAAAGATAAACCAGATATTTCTAGCTTCTTTTCACGGATAATCAAAAAAATGGAAAAGGAGCAGTAAATAATCTAAAAGATCTAAGGAAAAAAAGTTACCTCGCCAAAGGCACCACGACCGATGACCTTGAGTGGCTCAAAGTCTTCAACACCAAGTCTAGAACGTTTTAAACGTAAGAACTCAGTTTCTTTTTGCGCATGCTGAAGCCTTTTCTCCTGTTTCTGCTGCTCTGACAGGCCCTCGTCTTTAAGTGATTCCTCCAACTTTGCTAGCCTCTGCTTGCGTTCAATATGCTGAGCTATCAAATTGCTGTAGTAGTTCTCGAGTGTCACCTGATGGTAAATTACAAATCTCGAAATTATTATTGTAATTCTAGATATTACTTTCAATTGTTTATCGCTCAACTAATGATCAATTAATTACCAATTAAATACAAATGTACTAATTACAGTCAATTTAATCAATTATTTATTTATAGCAACAATTATTAATAGTCATTATTATTACTAAATAGCTTGATCATAAATCTAATGACTCTATACCTTGGCCTTCGTCGCTTTATCCAACGTATGGCCGCTAAAACGAATGGTACTCTCAGTTGCGGCCATCTCCAGCACCCCTGCAACAACAAAAAAAAATGTTGGTTATAATTAAATGTTCTTAGAAGAATAATTAATGCAAATATAAAAATGGTATTATTAATAATAAGTTTAATTTATTGTACATGTCGACTGTTGAATAATAATAAATGTCTGGATCTAGCTAAACACTGATTTGGATTCTTATGAGATGGAAGAATATGTATGAATTTCCAACAGATATCTATTTAGTATAGGTTTATTATGGAGTATGATATATAACATTGTAATCCATGACATTAACATAACGGTTGGGAATAATTTCAAGTTATAAATTACTTAATATACGTCTTAACTTGTAAATAGTTTTACACTAGTGTTTTTCATTTAGCTTCTTAATACTTCAAATCTTCACTATAATTTACTAATTTATTCTATGAAATAATGTGGCTACTTAATAGTCTAAATACTTTGCTGGTTAAGTGCAAGGATTAATATTTTCATAATAAATATTTTTTTATAAATAATGAAATTAAAATAATTGATTTAAATTATATGAATTATTGTAAAATATTGTTTGAATAAAAAGAGCTTTTGCTTATCACTTCAATAATTACAAGATATCTTTAAAAACCAAGAAACTTATTGTTTCAAAGTTGACCTAAAAAATGTAAATTTTCAAAGAGGGATAAACAAATGAAGACAATTGTTATCACACTATTTAAGTACTGGTATTATGAATATATTATCACGCTGTTAAAGTCCATTTGACTCATGGTTGTATCACTTTTTTATCGCCACACTCCATATATGTTATAATCTATCCTACACTCCTAGTAACTGGAGTTAAAGTTTGAAAAGCAACTAAATAACAATTTCCTCCTTCTCCACTTCTTCATTTGTATTTAATATATACACATAAATAACGTTTAACTTATTTATCTCCCTCAATACAACATGCCCAGTGAACTTTTATCATGCATGTAAAATAATTACACTACATTTTATTGAAGTTATAATTCTCACTGGACGCATCAATAAAATGCTAAATATGACTATCTTCTGATCAAGCAGATAAAGCATCATTTAGTAATTTATTAAACGTTTTAATCAATGTGAATCATAATTGATGTATTCCTATGTTTACGTAGGCGTAAAAAGGTATTCTATGCTCACTTTCTTTGTCCTCGTTTTTAAAGCTATTTCATCAGCAGCAAGTCGATAACGATTCTTTTACAAGTGTATGACAACAGCTATTGCAGCAAGACACGTGCGAGCTATGAAGAATCTGCAAGTTTATGAGTACTAGTCCACACCAATGAACAAATAAGTTTATGATGATGATGATGATGATAAAAATCACTCGTATTAACACGTAATACATTCATAGATGAAAATAAATTCATCAAGTTAAATGAAATGACCATTAATTGTAACTGTTTTAACCACTTTTACTTAATCAGTATCACAAAATAATTTAAATGCCAAAATCAATAATAGAAAACTAAAAAACATACACGTTTGTAGTATTCTATAAATAATATAACTTGCCCTAGAGACAAATAATGGTTTTCTTTCATTATTTTTAGATGGTTAGGGCTTAGATAACGGACACCTATTGCTCTGTTCCCGAAGAATACTCACGAGGATGCATACTCGTCTATACGTGAAACAAGGCAAGCATGAGTAAGAAAACAGGTTTGCCACACTCAAACGAGTCAGACAAGCTCTTCTTTTCCCTCTCTCTAAACAGAGCGAGACTACGTGCCGAACGCACCGAGTCATCGAGACAATGAACCCCGTGTCTTACCGTGTCCGTGGTCCGACTTGGTCTTTCTCTGCTGAAAAGAGAAAAAGAACAAGTAGGCTGTTGAAAAATAAAACGACACCATCATCAAACAGCAAAAGATAGAACAATAAGAACTGCGCTCTTCATCGTTGCGCAACACTGCCCTCCAATAACTAAGTCTGCTCAGAATTTTCTGTTTTCTTAATCTCAGATTGTGTATAATAATTCCAAGTTAAATAGAAGTAAAAGGAGAGTTGATTAAAGGGAGAAATTCTGTACCTTTCATGTCAGTTTAAAAGACATTTATGATGAAAGTGATGATAATAATGATCACAAACTGCCGACAAACTAACTAAACTACGCATAGTGAAACAGTTTAACCAACACTCAAGTCGCCTGGTCCAATTTTAGATGGAGTGTCAGACGCACACCCGAAAATAGCTTGGCTCTTTCTCGTATTTTCTGCAGTTCGATTGAAAATACTTGAAGACAAATACGTCGTTTGAGCTCTACAAGTGCACTCATCAATGTCAAAAATGTATGTACTACATACTTGAAGACACAAGTTACCAAAGCATCACCACGAGTGCAATTAAACGCGTGCGTAAAAGAATAAGGACCACTCGCGCATCATCATCGTGGGCAACTTGAAGAAACGCGCGACACGAGCGCCGGCCACCGACTCCCGTTTCAAGTTTCCGCAATCCCCACTGTTATGCTCAAGAGCAGAGAGTTTGCAAAGAAAGGGAAGGGAGATGAAGAGCTTGAACCTAGAAGAGAGAAATTGCTCCAAGGGCCGGAAGTATATATAAGCAACATCACATCGTCATCACTTGACCATCGTAGTTTTCAGTTTTTCTTTTACTTTTGCTTCATCATTATTGTATTACAATCTCGCTTAAATTTTATCAGTATGAGGAAATACGGATTTTAATTTAATCAATAATGTCATAAAAAAAGTCTGTATAAAAAGAGCTTAGGAATTCTATGATTCTATACTTTTCTGTGCGTAAAATTTCAAATTATTTTTTATTCATGGGGCTTCATTTTCAAGACTATTTTTCATGCTATAACCCGATGTGAAAAATGGTCGTATGAAAACCTTGACCTTTTGCTCGCGTGATGGTTAAGCAGGAGATTTAAAAAAGTGATGGCACAAAGGGCAAACAGAAAGTAGCGATTACTATTATGTGTCAGTGATTGTTTGAACTATATTTAAATCAAGTTGGAAAGGAAATACAAAACTTAGTTACAGTTAATTTAATACATTTTTTCAAAATCAATACCATTTAAAATACAATTTTCACGTATATATTTTATTACTTTATAAATGATTACAATCTATTATCGAACATCAACGAAAATAAATAAATTTTGTTTTTTTTTTTCATTGATATCAAGTTAGTTACTGGTTTGATTATTTATCAAAATTCTCATAAAAATTAATCAAGAGTAATCAATTGATTTTATATTGTTCGATTAATTATGGAATACTTGACTGGCTGTTTACCATTTGAAAAAGCAATTTTTTCCACTCAAGTGATAAATGAAAATATATTATTTGTACAACACTTAGAATGTAGTAACAAGGCATGCTAAAATATACTGAATTTAAATGAGCTAATGGATAGATTCAAGCATAAAATTTCGAAGCGGTAAATCTGAAATTGACTGGTCTAGTCGCAAATCAGTAGATTCTCTTCAGAGAGGCAATAACAAGTATGTTAACATGATTGGCCTCACTTTAAGCAATCAAAGATATGTTGGTCCACGTGTGATAGAACTAATTTACAGTCTAGATAATTTTGGTAATCATATAAATATACTATAAGACCTTGAGGATGTTTTATCTTTTCCATAATTAGACTTTAAATGCGTAATAATTCCAATATCTACTATTTTAATTATTGAATACTAAAAGATTTATATTTTTTTTATTATATAACTCATGCTGAGATTTTTTTCATGGAGAAATTTTTTTAACAATTACAAACCAATCACAGATATTCTAGTAAAACACTAACCTAAATTTTTCTCAGCTTTTTCTCATTTTACCCTTCAATTACTACCTATTAGCACGTCTGTTCAGACAACTTTTACAATTACCACCATTTTTTTTCATGTCAACATAAATTAAATAAATTTTAGCCTGAAAACTGTTGTTTTCTCTCAAACAAACAAAAAAAACTTGTTGCAGCAAATATAATTCAATATCAGAATGAATTAAAAAAATAAAGTGATAAATGACGATATTTTCTGAGAAACATATCTGAGTAATTACTTAATTTACGATGATTTCATACATGTTCTAGCAGAGATAAAATATTTTTTATTTTTCTCCTAAAAAAAATCTCTACAAATATAGAGCAGTATTACTGAACAAATCTTTAGAATGAAACAAATCAATTTCAACAATTTAGAGAATTAACATAGAAAATAAAACCAGTAATACGAATAGGAATAGCAAAGAGTCACGTTCATGAAACCAAACAAACCAAAATTCACAGCAAACTAAATCCCTCCATTGGTATCTACGAACCACATCCGCGTGTCGAGGTCAGGAGCTCGAAATCACTCAAGTTATCACAGTAATAAACGTTGCAATTTCACATATTAAACTGACTTGAGTGTGAATAAAAAGTAAAAAAATATAGGCAGCTCCGAGGGCTCCGTACCTCGGCTTCTAATAGGGGATTTCATGGACTTGACGTCATCTAAAAGCCACATCGTCGCGCCTTCGCACCTCCTGTCCACCTCTTGCCTTGTTCCAACATCGACCGATCGCATTAACACGTCTACATGCATATGTATAAATACTATTCACCGTGTATACAACGTTCTAATTCGATTTGGCAAATACTGGCTTGACTCACAAGGTACAGAAGATAGGCCTACGTACTACGAACATATTAATACGCGTGTGCTACCCATCGTTGCAATGAAATCTCTTACGGTGCATTTGCAGTCTAACGCAGTGTTCAATCAAACGGTTTTAGCAAACTATCGATCGACAAACATCAAACACACAACTATTATGGAGTTTCTAATGTTCCGGATTTAATAGACATATAGACAAAATCAATCTACTGTTATCAAGATAGATGTAATAAATAAATTGATCAATATGTATGCATGTTTATCTTTATTGTAGATTTAAAAACGTCAGCGAATTATCTTCAATCCAATTACAAAGTATTTTAAAGCTGATAAATCTTAGAAAAATCTGTGCTAACAATATATCTATTTTCAAAT